GAAATAAAAAAAAAAAAGAAGAGAGGAAGCTAAGATTGATAGTAGCTATAGGGTATCATTATCATTTACCTGACGAAAGGTAGCATTTTAAGTTATGAATTTTATAACAAATTAATTTATACATCATTAAGTATTAATATATGATTACAAAAACGTATATGCTGCTAAATAAGACTATTTATAGTTTGGTTCATGGACACATAATGGATTTGCAATTGATTTGCAAATTGATGCTGATGATAGCAATTCAAGTAAGTGCTTTAATTAATTGATTAATTAATTGAACTACACGATGAAATTGTTCATGTCAATAATTTAGATTTTTTTTTTCATACTATTCAAGCAAGATTTCATTGGTTCAATCATTTTAACTAATATACTTAGAGAAATCTTACTAAAAGAATTGTCATGAATGTTTGAAAGACAAAATTGTTAAATGATCAATTAATTATTAAATGATTAATTGTCAAACGATTAATTATTAAACGATTAACCAACAAAAGTTAAAATTGTTAAATGATTAATCCACAAAAGGTAAAAGTTTTTCAGACATTTTTATTTTCTTTTTCTCTTTATAGCTATATCAACAGTAAATGAAGTAATATACTGATAACTCGTTATAATCTTTGTACTTGTGCCTTTGTAATCCTTGTGATCTTTGTACTTGCACCTATGTGATCCTTGTGATCTTCGTGATCTTTGTGCTTTAAACCTTTGTGATCTTTGTGATCTTTGTGCTATCCTTTTTGTTTATCAATTTATTTTCAAATACTTTAGCACATCAAATGGATATCAGTGATTATGTTTTGAACGGTGAGTGGGATTTGATTGCAACACCTGCCGTACGTAATGTTAAACGTTTCGTATGCTGTCCAGAACCATATCCAACAATTACATTTTATATGCATATCCGTCGTCGGACATTATATTATGGTTTGTTTGCTAATTAATGAATTATGCTTATTTCCATGCTTAATTAAAATGCGACACATAATATTACAGTTTATTTACTAATTAATGAATTTTATCTACAGCTATGTTTAAAAAAAAAAATGAGTACTAAATTTATATATGATTAGCTGGGTTTTTTTCAAGTTTTTCGAACTCAGAAAATGGAATAATAAAAAAATTCAAAATAATTTTTTAAAATTTTTAACAAAATTTTCATTCTTTTTTAAAAGTATGGCTGATCCATAATATTTATTTATTAATTCAGTTTTTAATTTCTAATTCATAACATTGACAATAAATTTTTAGATTTTTTATTTTTTTAATTTTTTGAATTTTTCATTCCTTTTTAAAACTTCTTCTAGCATCATTTCGTTAAAAATCAGTTTTGATTAGAATATTTTAACAAATTGAAATTCGATCTTACTCTAGTTACTAGATCATTTTAAAGTTTTCCAGATTAAGAAAATATATTGATGGAAAAAAAAAATTGAAATGAACTTTTAAAATTCTAAACAAAACTTTCAACTGCTTTTTTTAAGGTTTCAATTTATTAATACCAAGCTTGCTAATTTCATTAATGACTGTACTTGGCTTTACATTACCACCAGATGCTGGCGAAAAGATTACATTAGGTTTGATCTCTCATAATTTTATCAAATCATCTTTTTTTTTTTTTTGTCACAAATATATATATATTCAAATAAAATTTTTGACAATTTAAAATTTCAAATTAAAATTTTAGGAAATTTTTGAAATTTGATGAAAAGCATCAACATAAACTTGTAAATTAGTGAAAAATATTAAAAAATTAATTTGTATTAAAAAAAAAATTTTTGCTTTTTTTTTCTTTTGTATAATTTACAGAAATTACAATTTTACTATCAATCGTATTCTTTTTGAGTATGGTTGCTGAAATGACACCATCAACAAGCGAAGCTGTACCATTAATTGGTTCGTTTAATTTCTCCCAAATGTCTTATGAAAATTTGAAAAAAAAAAAAAACGATGTTGAAAAAATTGATTGAAATTTTCCGATTCATTTGTTTTGTCATTTTTTTTTCTTTTTTTTTGTCACCAACATTATTTACTCATTCATTATTTAGGTGTATTTTTCTCATGCTGTATGTTGGTTGTATCAGCATCTGTTGTTTTCACCGTTATCGTCTTAATTTGCATTTTCGGACACCTGAAAGTCACATTATGACGCCACTTGTATTCTATTATATTTTCTTTTTTTTTTTTCTCACTTTTCATTTCTTTGGAAATAGTCGAAACAATCAATCAATCAATCAGTCAATTGACCAATATATCAATCAATCAATATTTTGCTATTATTCAATATTTAATTTGAAAAAAAAAAAAGAACGAAAAGGAAATGAAAAATGCAATTTTAAGGTTCGACGGATATTACTGGAATGGCTTCCATGGTTTCTAATGATGTCACGACCTGGTACGGTATACAGTTGTGGTGAAGCAATAACGGATACAGAAACGGAAACAAGTAGTAGAACGAAAGAAGATGATTATGGTTTAATCGATGATGAAATTTTATTCGGACGAAGAAATACATCTGATGTACAAACTTTATTGCTTCATCAACTTTATCTAAAGTTGAAACAGGTGTTTTTTTGTTTTTCATGTTTAAAAAAAAAAAATAGAACCTTTGATAAATACCTTTGTAATTTTAACATTGAATTGGAATTAATTAAGTCAATTGAACTCAAACTATGAATTTAATTAAAGCCAAAATAAGTCAATTAAACCGGACTATCAAATTAAATAAATTGATTGAATTTAATCATGAGGTCTGGTAAAGTTAAAATAAGTCAATTAGACTTAATTATGCCGTTAGGTAAGATCAACTAAATCGGTTAGACTAAACTATGAATTATTATGCTTAATATTGGATTGTTATCAGTTGTTAATACGTACTATTGAATTGAAACGAATATTTAAGCGAATGAATTCAAACGAATTCAAACGATATAATTTCAACCAAATTCAATTCAAATGAATGTAATATGATAATGAATATGATTTCAATCAAATTCAATTCAAATGAATATAATATGATAATGAATATGATTTCAATCAAATTCAATTCAAATGAATATAATATGATAATGAATATGATTTCAATTAAATTCAATTCAAATGAATATAATATGATAATGAATATG